GAAGGCTGGAGCAAGGTTAGAGTAGAGCAAGGACAGGACTAGAGCAGAAACTGGATCAGGCAGGGAGTCTAGTGAGTCTGTTACCGTACGAGGCAGCAGGAAGGTCCCTGTCCAGGTAGGACTGTTAGACAGATTGGCTGCAGCTCTGGTGGGGTTGGGGAAAATACCTGAGCTGGGGCATCATCTGACCTGGGTTCTGCTTAGGGATGGGCTGCCACTGCATTGCTGAGAACTGAGTCACTGCAGGGTAAGTCAGTTTAGCTGAATTGTTGCCAGCTGCCTGAGTGGTGACTCAGTGTGATCCTCTCAGCCATGACAGTCCAGCCAATAGCAAAGGAACTGGCATAGGTCTGTTGATGGGTAGGTTTGTCCCCGGTCTTCACCCAGCAAGGGATTAAACTTCATGATCCACTTACTACAGGAAGTGTGGCAGCTCTCTAGGTCAGACCCTGCCAAACCTCAGTTCAGTCCAGTCCCTTCCGTATGTATGAACTGGTAGAGAAGTTTAATCAGACCCTAAAACAAAGGGTGAAAAAAATCATGAAAACAGACCCCAAACACTGAGCCAGGCTTCTGCTGTACCCTTTCTGTGGGGTGCAGAAGGTGCTACAGGCACTGCCGGGCTTTTCACGCTGGAGTTACTGTATGGCCAACTGCTCCCAAGTAAGCCTAGATCTCCTTAAGGAGGCTGAGAAGAACACTCCCAAAGCATACCACAGTACATCCAGCAGATGTGGGAATGTCTGGGTCTTGTGGGGCGACTTGCCAGGGAGAACCTCCTATGACACCAGCAGACCCAGGCCAGTGAGAAAATATATCAGCCTGGGATCTGTGTGCTTGTGCTACTGCTACTCCCCAGCAAATCGCAGGACCCATATGAAGAATGCTAAATCCACTCAGCCCATGGAGCGATAGCCCCAACACAAGCAATCCATGCGCTGTGGCAGCTAGTCAAGGCCTGGGTACCACCTGTACATTCTTCAACAGAGCAGGCACAGACGCCCACTAGGCAGCAACCTCGTTCAAAGCTTTGAGAACACCGTCTGCAGCGCTATGAGTGGGGAAAGGTTCCCAAAACAGGAAAACTTCTTTGACGGGTCTATTGCCTTGGTAGCTTTACACACATGTCAAAAAGTTAGCAGTATTTCCCATGACTGTCCATTCATCTAAGTGCAGAACAGAGAAGTGGTTACATCTTATTATAGGCACACGTTGTTCTTTGACATTTTCTAACATGACTTGTGTTCTGTGTGAAGCCATGGCCCTTGATAGAGAAAGGAGGGCTAAAGTGTTTTGCTTTCTCTTTCAACATTACTAACACCACATCTCTCGCAACTAGTAAAATCAGTTTGACAGTGTTTAGCTTTCCTGCTTTTGCAATGCACAAACTAGCTTGATACATACTTTTGAGGGATCACTGCTACTAATAAAATCAGATTTTATCGTTTTCTTTTCGGTGGGTAATTCAATTAATTTGTTCTTGAAAAAAATTTCAATGGTTTATCTTTAAATCCAGTGCATGTTGATTTCAGGTGATGCTTAAAATGAGTTGGCTTTAAACTCTCATTTGCCAAAATTATTAACAAGCAGCAGGTTGTGGAGAGGGATTGTCTTAATTTCCTGGCTGTGTGCATCTTAACCGCTAACATTTTGCATAATCTCTTCTTGCAGCTTTTCTATTCTTTTAATATACATCTTTTTTTTTTTTTACATACAGCATCTTTATTCCAGTTCTTGTCTTAATCACTATTACATTTCTTTTACCCTTCCTGCTTATATCCTGGTGTGTCTGTTCTTCCTGCTCACATATAAAATATACTGCCAAGTATTTGGTGGTGCATGATACAACAAAATCAACTTTAAAAAAACAACACTGCACTCTGATTAAACAGTGAGCACTATATACTATCAATAATACACACACTAACTGGCTTGAGGACTGGCTGCCAGATCTCAAAGTAGTTGTCAGTAGGGATTTATCATTGAATGGGTGTTTCTAATGAGGTTGCTGTAGGGATCAGGGCTAGGTCAGATGCTATTCAGTAGCTTTTGTTAGTGATCTGGAAGTAAATACAAACTCATGGACAGGGAACAGAGAAGAATGGTGCTTGGGGAGGGAGGGGGTTAGGCAGAGTGCTGATCAAGGAGACCAAAGGAGTCTAGTACTATGGAGATGGAAGTTAAACAGGAAGGAGATGAGAGAGGAATGGAGGAGAGTGAAAAGACGGTGGAGCGGAAGTTACAATTCAACTGAGTATGAGTGAATTGGGCGGGGGGGGGGCAATGACAATGATAAAAGGACAAGCGGCAGTGTTCCAAGAGGCTGCATTACTGGCATGATGCTTTTGGTCAGGTGGGTACTAGATTGTGACTTCTGATTCACACCCTACCTTGTAACAGACTCTTTCCCCTCTCGGGACTATCTTAAGGTACTGATACTTCTAGAATTGAGAGCAATGGGCCTCTGTGCAGCAAACCAGGAAGACTGAAAAGATCGCAGATGCATGTAGCCATAGCTACCAAGTTTTGGGCCACTCCATGCAGATCAAGTAAGCTAGTTTGCATATAACTAAGCTTCACCCTTTACAAGGGAGTTGGATTTAGGGCAGGTGAAAGGCATTGACCTATTTGACCTCTAGCAAGTAGAAAGTAGCCACAAGATGGTCGTTCCCCCCCCAGACACATGGCTTATCCTCTGAAAAAGGGAGGAGGGGGCAAGAAGGACTAGGTCAAATCGAAGAGCACGTGGATAGGCACGCGGTCAATACAAGGCTGGATGGGAACAGAGTGGTGCCCTAGAGATGATGTTCTGTGAAGCCAGTAGGTGGATGCCCCCCAGCAGAAATCTGCCTAGATACATAAACTTACAAGGTCAAGGAAGATGGCATAAGAGTCAGAGCGCCTCCCCAGGAGTAGTCTTCTTCCTCCTGGATTGAGGAACTGCCAACTTTGCTTTTGCCATAATGACATTTAGGAGGCCTCTGGACCTACCCAGGTTTCAGATGGGGAGACTGTTCAGATTTTGGAGGAGGAAAAATTGACCTGCCAGCCCCAGATGCAGCTAGGCTGGGGAATCTGAACTGCATACAGATTAATCGAGTCCTGTTTACTAGCACGGCAAGTCCTCACCGCCCCCACTGCCCTGTTAGCCTGCATCTAGGGAACGCATTCCCTGGAGGAGCGTAGTACCACAGTCCCTTCTCTGCTGAGTCTGCCAAGTCATGCAGACATGGGAGCTGGGACTAGGACAAACTCATCTGAGATGCTGCTGCCCAGCCATTGGATAAGAACAGCTTCTAATCCCTGCTGAGTTGGGCTGTATTCTGATAGCAACAGGAGAAGGGACAGGCTTTGTGGCTTACTGGTAACATGCTGAACAACAGCTCCTGCTCCCAGGGTGCCCTCAAGAATGACACTTGCTTTCTAACTTCTGCCAAGTTCTCCCCTTTTTGGAGTATGCCCAGGCAGAGTCTCCCACACTCTGGCCACACAGGCAAACTCACCCTGCTCTGGCTCCTGCAAACCCTACCAGCGAGTGCTCCACCCTGTTCTTAATAGGACAGTTCCCTTAAACGAGCCCAGTGTTAACACAACATCCAGCTTCACTTCTAAAGACATGGTGCACGAGCAAAGTTTTCAATAATTACAATGATCTCAGGGTCCTATTACATTCTTTTAACATGGTTTGTTTTAAAATTGCAAAGTCAAGCCCTTCAGAGGTAGAAAGTGCTAAAAATAAAGTTTTCCCATGCAGCCATCTTCTGCCCTCTCATGCATATGCATTCTATGATCATAGATTCTTCCCCATAAGGTGATCAGAAAGCTTTGCACCCAGGCACTTCCAAGCCACAGCACAGATATCTTCCCGTAATGCTGAAGGAGCAACTGTAGCTAAAGAGAACAATTATCCACCGTCCCCCAGCCCCTAGAGGGGGACCCGAGCCATTCTTTTCTAGTGGTTTTACACCACTTTAGGAGGCAGCAATGGAATGGTGGAGATCGCAGGGCCAGGCTCTAGAGCAGAACATGGTTGAGCGTTTCCAGAGCGGACAGCCAAGCCCACACCAGGTACATGTTGTCTGAAAAGCTATGTGGCTAGTGTCGCAATTCTCAGGCTGCTGATGGGCACCTTGTACTGTCTGCACACTGAAAAAACTTGAGTGGTACAGCTACTGTCTGCTCTCACCCAGAGCTTTTAAGCCCTTATTTCAACGTAACCTGACTGATAGGGCTGAAGAGGTGGGGCCAGCCTTTCCCAAAGCACTTCTTTAACCCCTCCATCATCAGTTCAGGGTTAATACACCCCATCACACTAAGTTAAGAGACCTGGGTTTTATTTGCAGCTCTGTCTGAAGTAACAGGCTGGACAAAGGTCACCTCATTTGTAAGATTCACCAAGCTCCCAGGCTGGGGAGATGCAGCCTGGGTCAGTCATAAGAGTTATGAATGACACCCAAAAAAAAAAAAAAATCATTTCCAATGCTCAGTAGTAGAGGTAAGACCAGAAATCCTCTGGCTCCCAGGCCAGTTCACCCTCCCCTAGGAAAAAGTGTTAGGGGGGCAAGTGTCTCTCTCCAAAAATGCCTGTTTATTGCCTGATATCTGGAGAGGGGTGCCCAAGGCATGAGTCGTGCATGGCTGTCTCCTGAGCCTGTATATCTGCCACTCTAATCTTTCTACACCAAGGTAATTAATTGTATGTTAGCATCAACTCTCCTTAGGACATGCCTTTTGTATTCTGCCTGTAAAGTGCCATAACATAGTAGGATAGCTGGATATGAAACAATAGTGCCCAACCATAGGTGAGGAGGCAAGAGTTGCTAGTATAAGCTTGATGCTGCCCATTCCCAGCTTCTCTAGCATCAAAGGAACACAGGCCCCAGTGCTGCCAGATTAAGCATGGAGGGGAGATATGGACTATCAAATTTGAGGTAAATTAGGTTTCTGGATTATGACACACAAAAAGCCCAATCTGAAAATTTCCTTGCTTTACATTGTAGCAAAAAACCAAATGGAAGAAATGAATCCAGTAAATGATTTTGTCACTATCTAATGAAGAGGAGCAAAGGTTAGTTGATTTTTTTTTTAAATAAAATGGAAGAGTCTGTAGTCCTTTCCCTCCAGTGATCAATAGACAAAGGAGAGCTTTTCCACTAACAGTGTTAGGGACAAGCAATTTACAAACCACATTTTAATCTAGCTAGATCAAAGTTAGCTTGAGTAACAATAGAGCAACACCATGGCAGCAGTTTAGCCCTGCCCACCTGGGGCTCTGGGTACATACTGCTGCCTGGGAAGCTGCTAAATTATACTGAGTATCTATACCAGCCAGTTTCCTGGGTGTAGACAAAGCTTAAGTTTACCAATGCATGAAAGTACAGTGGCCCGTGGGTCAGCTACCCTTCCCCTGCACCACTCAACACCTCCCAGAAGAGAACTTGTTTCCCACACACCTCTGTGACAATCAGGCTCTAGGCACCCAAGGGAAGAACAGTAAATTTAAGCCCCCAAAATGAGCAATTTGAACCAACTGATATAGTACGATAACACAGTGTGCGAAGTGTTTTGAGGAAGGTCTTTTATGAAAGCTTGTAATGGTCATTACAAAATATGTATGCGGACTGTGGTTATGGATCTAGGTATTAGTGTATCTAGAAAATCATGCTCATCATTTCAACCACCTCACAGCAGCAAGGGGCACCTTGCAACTGGGCATTTATATGAAACTAGTTCCAACTAACATTTTCCAGCACAGGAAGAGATAAGTAAGGGCCATAGGAGTGAGTGGAAAAGCATTGAGCTATCCCAGCTCTTGAGTGGAAACTTCCTCTTGACTCAATGAACATGGATCATCATGGTCTAAAAGAAAAAAAAGGCCTTTCAAAAGCAGGCTTGCATCTGAGGTTTTTTTTATCCAGAACTTAAAGTAGGAGGCTGCCAGTGACCACTGGATTCCTCCTATGGGTAGAGGGCATGCTAGGAAATAGTTAAGGAAATGGGCAACTTTTATTAGAAAAAAGAAAAGGAGTACTTGTGGCACCTTAGAGACTAACCAATTTATTTGAGCATAAGCTTTCGTGAGCTGCAGCTCACTTCATCGGATGCTGTAGCTCATGAAAGCTTATGCTCAAATAAATTGGTTAGTCTCTAAGGTGCCACAAGTACTCCTTTTCTTTTTGCGAATACAGACTAACATGGCTGTTACTCTGAAACCTTTTATTAGAAAAGGGATTTTATTTAAACTTGAAAGTGTAAAGCCTGAAGTAGCATCTTTATGTTCATTTTCTGTGTAACTTGGCTAGGTTTGCTTTCCCTTACTCGTGTCTTCGAAGCTGTGGCTTTTCTAGTAAACAAACTTTTTGTTTTTACCCCCAAGCAGTTCTCTAGTGTGCAGACAGCAAGGAGTGTGTGCACCAAAGTGAACTGAGAACACGGGCTGGTTTCATGCCTTTGGGGTAATAAACTAGATGGGAAAAGTCCAAGTGGCTAGTAGTTAAGAACTTGGGGTAGACAGAGTTGGGGAGACGTGGTGTGCAGGAGGGGGCTCAGGACAGTGGTGCCGGGAGAGGTGTGGAGTGCAGGAGGGGGCGGCTCAGGGCAGGGGGGTTGGGGTGCAGGAGATGTGTGGCAGGGAGTTGGGATGTGGTGCAGAAGGGGTGTGGGCTCCGGCCCGGTGTCACTTACCTGGAGCGGCTCCGGGGTGGCAGCAGCACGCACCTGGGCCAGGACAGGCTTCCTACGTGCCTGCCCTGTCCCTGTGCTGCTCCAAGAAATGGCCAGCACCACACCCCTGCAGCCTCAGGGGGAGGGGGGACAGGCAGAGGGCTCCATGCACTGCTCTTGCCTGTGGGTACCTTCCCCGAAGGTCCCATTGGCTGGGAACAGGGAATTGTGGCCAATGGGAGCTTTGGGGGAGGTACCCACAGGCAAGAGCAGCATACAGAGCCCTCTGCCTCCCCCCTCCCCCCAGGGGCCGCAAGGACATGGTGCTGGCTGCTTCCCTGAGCAGGGCCCGCAGCACCATGGGGGTGGCAATCCTGTGGGCTGGATCCAAAGTCCTGAGTGTCCGGATCTAGCCTGCGGGCTATAGTTTGCCCACCCGTTTTAGACTATCCAAGGAGCAATGCTGCTTTTCACCAAATATATATACGTCTAAATAAGCCAAAGAACATCTACCTTTTCTTTAATATGCCATTTTAAAGAGGGCAATACCAAAAGGAGTACTGTAGTTTATCATAAAGAAGAAACACACATGGCACACTGTTTATACTTACTAAATCTGTTTATTGATCATTAGCCAAGTAATGCATTTAAATATTTAGCTATTGGTTGCTTGCCTGAAGTTGTCTTCAAACTGCTGAAAGGAAGGCAGGGGGGGAAAAAAACCCCACACCCCACAGTATAGAGATTAAAGACTATATGCAAGTTTCTTGTGCCCATATGTCCAGTGTTAGTGGAAGTGAAATCACATCTTACTAGTATGCGGAAGAGCTTTACACACTCAACGCTACTGTGCCCTTCAAGCCGATCAACATCCATAAGGTTTTACACACGATGGATTAGTTTTGAAAGCGTTCAAAGTTCAGCTCCAAGGTTTGGCATTTATTATGTTCTAGGACAGTGGTTCTCAAACAAGGGCCACCACTTGTTCAGGGAAAGCCCCTGGCAGGTTGGGCCAGTTTGCTTACCTGCTGTGTCCACAGGTTTGGCCAGTCATGGCTCCCACTGGCCGCAGTTTGCTGCTCCAGGTCAATGGGAGCTGCAAGAAGCGGCACGGGCCGATGGATGTGCTGGCCGTCCTTCCTGCAGCCCCCATTGGCCTGGAGCAGCGATCGGCCAACGCAGCAGGTAAACAAACCGGCCCAGCCCACCAGGGGCTTTCCCTGAACAAACGGCAGCCCTAGTTTGAGAACCACTGTTCTAGGAGACCGGACAGCCATAAGAGTGTGACATTACAACAAAGTGTTTTAAGAATTCCCCAGCAATATTACAAGATCCCAGATGATGTACTGAAATATCACCTCCAGGTTAGTTTTTAGAAGTCTGCAAGGAAAGGGATCCCAAGTTACCATTTTAACAGGCAGTCTTTTCAGAGCAGACATGTCTTACTCAAAAGACATTACACAGTATTCTACACAAAAATTGTTTCCTTGGAATAAAAAATGGATACTTCAACATTCATCAAAATATTTATGGCTGGTCTGTATATTAATGGGCACTTGGCCACTGACTTGAGAAAGTTCTGAGATGATCTGGAATGTCACAATGAATGTTGCCACCATTTGTTTGTGTTTCATGTGCCCAAAACACTTTCAAACTTCAAAAATCAAGTTGCCTCACCTGTTCAGAAGTGTGTCTCAGAAAAAACCAGCAACCGCTTCCAGCTGTCTGCTCTCAAGGTTGTCAATTATTTGATATATTTTGAGTGTTTCATAGAAAACTAAAACCCATCTCCTATAAGATGTTTTCATCCCATCTTTCCACTTCTCTACGGCACTTTAAAACACACAGATTAGTAACTATACATAGCTACTTGGCTCAAGCCCTAAGGCACCAGGCAACATTCCAGGCTGCTGTGCCTAGGACAATGCAGAACTACCCGAAAAGCTGGTTACTGCACTTACACTTGCAAGGACAGCAGATTATATTAAATGCAAAGCAGAGGCCACATTGCAGCTCAACTAAAAGGTTTCACAGTTGCTCCTGCTGTATGAAAGCCTTTCCATACTTCTGACCATTTGGTTATTAGAACATTCTTTTAGAGATTATATGCTGCGTCAGCTACAGCATGGGTTTGCCAACACATTCTTGAACACAAATTATACTTTGTGTTAAAGCAAAAGTCAATCAGGCTTAGAGGAATCAAATCAGTATTGCTAAAGCTTTACAGTCTTTATAATTTTATCTAATGGATCAAAATCCTAGTATTACATCTAAATCTTATATTGTTACAAAATATCAGTCTTGAATTACTTTTACTATTATAGGAGAAGTTACAGAAAGGCACAGAGCAGAGGTAGGACAGACTTTTAAACAAAATGAATTCTGAAAGGAGAACGAGCATCTACTCATTAAGTGCAAATAAGACTAAACTCCCTTCCCTCCCTCAGAATAATTTAAAAAACCCTTACAAAAATTGAAAGAATTGCTGAGTAACACACAGAGAACTGCATAGGCACTTCAAGTGACAGTTAAGGCCTTGATGATCTAAGAAGTCTTCTTTTATTCATCTACCCTGATACTCTGAATTGCTGCTATACCTTATGTAGGACCAAACTAGCCCCCACCCCCACTCCAGTCCTGCCCTGCCCTCAGATTTAAAGCTTTATTTGGTGAATAAAGAAGTAGTAGGGCAGAAGGGCAAGACTGGTTCAATAAGCTGTTCTTTGAAACCATTGTATTACAAAGCGTCTGGCAAGTCAGACAACAGAAATAGCAAAGACTTAAAATCGACTCCCAGACAATGCTGCACAGTCTGTTGAGCTATGTTAGAATGTCTTGAGGTAAAGTCAGGTTCTTTCTGGTTCAGTCTCGCTGCTTGTAACAGCTCATTGGGATTACAGTAGGCTCTGTCCCAAGTTAGCACAAAGCTTTCTACTGAAGCTCATGACAGTCTTTTTGGCAATTTAAGGCTGTCGCAGCATCTCATTAATTTGATTTTTTTGGTGTTTGGAATGCAAAGTCTCTAAGCCTATACTGTAAAGCTCCAGTCGGCAAAGGTAGAGGAGCTTTGGTGTTGCGTGGTACTTCTAGGGAGACCAGTTAGTTGTTTTCAAATTTGGCATAAGGGTTCTCTTCCTTAAACAAGCCTGAAAAGAAAAAAGCTCCAGTCAGACTAATACATTTCAGGATTGAAAGGGAGGTGGGGGTGGGAGAAGAAGAGTAGACAAGTTGAGTGCACTCTGATCGTAGAAATAAATCAAACATTTCTTCACTCAGTACCAAGTCTGCTTTCGGTCACTTATGCAAGTGTTATGACACAGTACAGTTTTCCTCCCATCTTTAAAGGCTTAGAGCAGAGGTGGGCAAACCATGGGGGGGGCACAGCTGGCCCTCGAGCTCCTGGTGGGGAGCAGGATCCAGGACTTGCCCCGCTCTGGCGCTCCAGCTGGGGAGCGGGGTCAGGGGCTTACCCCACTCCACACGGCTCCCGGAAGCAGCAGCAGCAAGTCCCCCCTCTGGCTCCTACACATAGGGGCAGCCAGGGGGAACCACAGCCAATGGGAGCTGCAAGGGCGGTGCTTGCGCACAGGGCAGTGCACAGAGCAGTGCACAGAGCTGCCTGGCCATGTCTCCACATAGGAGCCGGAGGGGGGACATGCCGCTGCTTCTGGGAGCTACTTGAGGTAAGCACTGCCCAGAGCCTGCGCCTTTGACCCCCTCTGGCAACCAAGCTCCCTGCCCCAGCCCTGCTCCCCCTCCCATCCTCCACACCCCTCAGTCCCAGCCCAGAGCACCCTCCTGCTCCCTCATCCCCAGCCCCACCCCAGAGCCCGCACCACCAGCCGGAGCCCTCATCCCCTCCCTCCCCCGCATCCCAACCCCCTACCTCAGTCCAGAGCCCCCTCCCACACCCTGAACTCCTCATTCTGGCTACACTCCAGAGCCTGCACCCCAACCCCCAATTTTGTGAGCATTCATGGCCCGCCATAAAATTTCCATACCCAGATGTGGCCCTCGGGCCAAAAACTTTGCCCACTCCTGGCTTAGAGCCTCAAAGGTATTTAGAAGCCTAACTCACACAGATTTCAATGAAAATTGGGTGTGTAGATACCTCAGGCTCTTAGCATGACTGTACAGGCTTGACTCAATTATTTAACTAAATGATAGCATTTGCAGTATATACAATTGTGCTCACAAATCAGGTAAACATTGAAATGGTAGCACTTACACCCAAAACAATGGACGCTGCATTTAAGTATTTCTGCCCTGCAAGTCTAACAAAACCCAATTCCACACTAAGATGTTTGTGTAAAGCAGTGGCAAGTTTCTCCTTAAACAAAATAAAAAACAAAAAAAAAAGAGAAAGGTCAGTAGTGTATAGGCTCTTTCCTCTTTGAAGGATGTTTAAGAAAACAACTGGAAGTCCAAGCATAGGGCTGATCAAAGTGTTTTTTGGTAAAGGTTGGACTTTAAGAAAGAAGTGTGTTCCGAATGAGGGGTCTGGCTAAATGAAAGCTGCAGTAATTCCCCTCATCCCACTTTCCTGAAAGATGTAAAAGAAAAAAAAGTTTCCTTCCAGCTGTCTATGAAAGGTGGTCACCAGCTCTACCACAGCCCCTTCCCAAAGGTTGAGGTCAGGCTGCTGTGCCCCACGGCTCCTTTCTCCAAAGCAGCCAGCACCAGCTCTCCCACCATCCCTACTCGTAGAAAGACGGAGCACACGGACCACTGAGTGAAACAGGAGAGAGCTTCTCACACTCTGGAAGCTGTGCAGTAGGGCTTTGGACCAGGCCAGAGCATTAAGACAACACAGACTTCCTATGGCAATAGCTACTGGCTAAGCAGAGCCTTCTGGTTCCTCTCCTTCCTCAAAGGCACCAGGCCCAGCAGCCTCATCTACTCTTCCCCCATTCCACAAGAGGAATGGGGACAGCAGGCAAGAGGACTTTGTAGGAGACAGTTTAAGTCCTCAGATCCACAGAGTTCATCCTCTACAGCAGCCAACATCAGCTACAAGTAAGGGCAAGTCAAGGCCTTCCAGCCTCCTCTCTGTGGCTGCACTAAGAGGGACCCACCCAGGGCCCAGTGGCTTTCCCTGCCCATCCCACCCCAGTAGGGCAGCAGCTTCAACATCAGGCTGTGAAGGCAACTCTGAAACCTGGACTCAAGGTAAGAACAAAAGAATGGCCATACTGGGTCAGACCAAAGGTCCATCCAGCTCAGTATCCTGTCTTCTGACAGTGGCCAATGCCAGGTGCCCCAGAGGGAGTGAACCTAACAGGTAATGATCTAGTGATCTCTCTCCTGCCGTCCATCTCCACCCTCTGACAAACAGAGTCTAGGGACACCATTCCTTACCCATCCTGGCTAATACCCATTAATGGACTTAACCTCCATGAATTTATCTAGTTTTCTTTTAAACCCTGTTATAGGCCTAGCCATCACAACCTCCTCAGGCAAGGTGTTCCACAGGTTGACTGTGCACTGTGTGAAAAAGAACCTCCTTATTTGTTTTGAACCTGCTGCCCATTAGTTTCATTTGGTGGCCCCTAGTTCTTATAGGAACAAGTAAATAACTTTTCCTCATTCACTTTCTCCACACCACTCATGATTTTATATACCTCTATCATATTCCCCCTTAGTCTCCTCTTTTCCAAGCAGAAAAGTCCTAGCCTCTTTAATCTCTCCTCATATGGGACCTGTTCCAAACCCCTAATCATTTTAGTTGCCCTTCTCTGAACCTTTTCTAACGCCAGTATATCTTTTTTGTGATGAGGAGATCACGTCTGTACGCAGTATTCAAGATGTGGGTGTACCATGGATTTATACGGGCAATAAGATATTCTCAGTCTTATTATCTATCCTTTAATGATTCCTAACATCCTGTTCACTTTTTTAACTGCCACTGCACACTGCGTGGACATCTTCAGAACTATCCACGATGACTCCAAGATCTCTTTCCTGATTAGCTGTAGCTAAATTAGTCCCCCATCATATTGTATATATAGTTGGGGTTATTTTTTCCAATGTGCATTACTTTACATTTATCCACATTAAATTTCATTTGCCATTTTGTTGCCTAATCACTTAGTTTTGTGAGATCTTTTTGAAGTTCTTCACAGTCTGCTTTGGTCTTAACTATCTTGAGAAGTTTAGTATCATCTGCAAACTTTGCCACCTCACTGTTTACCCCTTTCTCCAGATCACTTATGCCTAGGACTGACCCTTGGGGACCACCACTAGTTACCCCTCTCCATTCTGAAAATTTACCATTTTTTCCTACCCTTTGTTCCTGTCTTTTAACCAGTTCTCAATCCATGAAAGGATCTTCCCCCTTATCCCATGACAACTTAATTTACTTAAGAGCCTTTGGTGAGGAACCTTGTGAAAGGCTTTCTGGAAATCTAAGTACACTATGTCCACTGGATTCCCCTTGTCCACACAGAATCATAGAATACAAGGGTGGAAGGGACCTTAAGAGGTCATCTAGTCCAACCCACTGCAACATGTTAGTTGACCCCTTCAAAGAACTCTAATAGATTAGTAAAACATGATTTCCCTTTACAGAAACCATGTTGACTTTTGCCCAACAATTTATGTTCTTCTAGGTGTCTGACAATTTTATTCTTTACTATTGTTTCAACTAATTTGCCCGGTACTGATATTAGACTTACCAGTCTGTAATTGCCAGGATCACCTCTAGAGCCCTTTTTAAATATTGGGGTTACATTAACTATCTTCCAGTCATTGGGTACAGAAGCTGATCTAAAGGACAGGTTACAAATCATAGTTAATAGTTCCGCAATTTCATATTTGAGTTCTTTCAGAACTCTTGGTGAATGCCATCTGGTCCCGGTGACTTGTTACTGCTAAGTTTCTCAATTAATTCCAAAACCTCCTCTAATGACACTTCAATCTGTGACAATTCCTCAGATTTGTCACCTACAAAAGACAGCTCAGGTTTGGAAATCTCCCTAACATCCGCAGTCGTGAAGACTGAAGCAAAGAATTCATTTAGTTTCTCTGCAATGACTTTGTCGTCTTTAAATGCTCTTTTTGTATCTCGATCGTCCAGGGGCCCCACTGGTTGTTTAGCAGGCTTCCTGCTTCTGATGCACTTAATAAAAATGCTTTTTCATCTTTTGAGTTTTTGGCTAGCTGTTTTTCAAACTCCTTTTTGGCTTTTCTTATTACATTTTTACACTTCATTTGGCAGTGTTTATGCTCCTTTCTATTTACGTCACTGGGATTTGACTTCCACTTTTTAAAAGATGCCTTTTTATCTCTCACTGCTTCTATTTGTTTACTCTGCTGCCACTGGCTGTTGCTCCCTCAAGTGCCCAACCTCACTCTCTCAGATTATGGCCCTCACCCTCCTCTCACCTCCTTTCACCCACTCCAGGACCTCTTCCCTCACTTCAGTCCCAAGGAGCCCCTCCGAAGAAGGAATAAGGGTTTACAGACGCTGCACAAGAGGATGAAAGGGATGAGAGCCTGATGTCACCTGCTCCCTTTGGGCCAGGCTGCGAGCCATGTACTCTCACTGGTGAACCATTACTCACATGAGCATTCCGCCTGGAGTCAATCAGCTGCAATCTCCAGTCTCTGCTAAATCCACTGCACACCTCACAGTGGCCAGAGAGGACCACTGAAAAACTTCCTCCACATGCAGCCAGTTCCCTGACAGCCCCCAACCTCATTGCACCTGAGGTGAAGAATCTGATCCTACAGGATTATTGTAGAGTAAGGTGCCACTTCTTGAGTATCTGGCCCATTGGCTGGACAGGTTGTATCCTTTGGCTTTTGTTATTTTTAATCACTTGAGGGGAAAAAATCTCATTGCCTCCTACCCGGAATCTCAGAGCTTCCTCCTCACCTTTGTTTTGGCAGATTTCAATTAAACCCCAGGAAAGCAGGAAAAGCAACATATAGAACAAGCTGACCAGCATTCCCATCTGGCGCTGTGGAAGGGCTGTGTCTGAATGTTCACTGTAACTGCATTGTTTTCAGTGTCTATTTGTGGCTTTCTTCTGCCTTTATTAAGTTTAACTGTAATCTCATGAAAAAAAAAACTTTTTTTGGTTTAATGTAATGAACTATTAAGCTGCATGACTTATTATGCAGTTTCTGCCCCCCTCCTACTCACTCCTAGATCACTCAAACAGGTGGTACTGGGTGTCAGACCAAATACAAACAGACAATAGCAATTCTTGTATTCCTCCCCGAAGTGCAACTGATCATTTGGTGATGCATGCAGTCAATGTTTTGTTTATAGCAAGGTATCAAATACTTTAGTGCAATATATGGATTTGAAGAATCACTTGAAAAAGAAAGTCACTTGTGAACTTATGAATTTTACCATATTTTTTCCGGATTTCATCATGTCGAGATTTCATCTCAGCTCTCCTGCAAAAACAAATTAGAGACTTTTAAAAAAGTATAAGCTAATGAAGTTATCTGTCTCTTCCTATACTTTTTCCTCCAAAGTACCAGTTTCTGGAGCCAATATACATAGGGTTAGACAGTTACCAGTCTGCATACAGATTGTGTTTCCCTGCCCCCAAAAGGCCTTCATGAGGAGGAAAAAAAAAAAAAAAAAAAAGCATTAAACAACCCGGGACTCAAGAGGAAACCCATCAGAAATAGTTACAGTACAAACAGATTATAAAAAAACTGTTAAAGGAACTAAGTGTGCAGTGTTGTTGCAGCCATTGGTCCCAGAATGTCGTAGCAGTTGGTCCCAGGAATTAGAAAGACAAGGTGGGTGAGGTAGTATCTTTTACTGGACCAACTTTTGTTGGTGAGAAAGATAAGCTTTTGAGCTTACACAGATCTGTGTAAGCTCAAAAGCTTATCTTTCTCACCAACAAAAGTTGGTCCAATAAAAGATAGTTCCTTTTAGAGAGACAAGGTAGGTGAGGTGTTAACAGTTTCACATTCTAATGAGTTAGTATGTCAAGTCAAGGTTTTCAAATCTCCTCAAGTTTATGTATATTGACAACATTGTTTTAATTTAACAAGTTCAACCAGTCACCTATGGAAACAGTCTCCAGAGATGCTTGATAATATTACATTAACATTAAGCATTAGCCAAAAGAACAGGGCCTCACTAATGAAATTTACACAAATACATAGACATTTTTTAATCCAGTTGCACAGATTGCTGGTTGGAGGTAAAGTCATATGTCCCTTTGAGATCTGGCACTGGGAAGCAGTTTTAGGTTCTCCAATGGCTAAGTACTTCCACTGCTGTCACCAAAGGAGCCCCTCATCTTGGGCCATGGGGGTGTTGAGATTGAGTCTGGATGCAGATACCTAGGACTGTGTACGTGATGGTACGTTTAAATTACCAACTACCTCATGTTATTAGGAGACCGGTAAATATACAGATGATTAATATTTTACAATTTGAGCAAGACTGAACATATATAGCATTCCATTTCTCCAATATCAAGACAGGTGTGTTGATCTGTTTACAGAAAGTTATTTTAAGCAGAAGATGATCCATTTCTGCCTTGCCCATCCCATTACCTCACACTGGGTACTCACCTCTCTTCTTGCCGTACTCTCCTCTGTTCCCTTTCTCTGGCAGCTTTTTCATCGTCTTTGTCTGGCCTGACAGGAATAATAGAGATTGTCATAAACAACCATCAGCTGGCTGTGTTTGGCATTCACCAGGGTTTGGGCATCTAGTTAAGTTTTGTAACTTTCTAAAAGTGCTGTAAAGTAGGAATTAGGTTTTCAGATACTTGCTTTTTGCTCTTCTTTTTCCTGCAACAGCAGAAGCAGCAGATGCAGAGAGCAACAAGGATCACTCCTCCTACCACAGACATTGCGATGATCAAGGCTTCAAAGTTCACTGAAAGAGTCAAAACATTTATAAGTATAAAAGCGTATGAAGATGTTAAGAAAGTGAGAATTACAACCTTGAGGCCTTTGCGTTATGACACAGAAGCCATTGTTTTCTGGAAGCTTAGTTGCATTTAAAAGTCAGAAATATTAGCTTGACTCATTTGTTTCAAATTTTTTTGTTCTTTTCTCCTATAGAAAGCAGTACAGGTATTACAGTCAACTACAATCATCCCAAGCAGGAAGGCTACCACAGTACAGGGGTGTTATACAACTAACTGATGCATAACTTAGGGTTGCCAATCCTCCAGGATTGTCCTGGCATCTCCAGGAATTAAAAGATTAAATCTTTAATTAAAGATTAAATCATCCAACGAAACCTCCAGGAATACGGCCAACCAAAACTGGCAACCCTAGCATAACTGTACACTTTAGTTACTGGCTATTACTGCACCTATCAAGAACTTGCAAGGACACCAATGTGTTCTGAGATGTCAGACAATGGTTCCTGTGGAAATAATTACCAGCTAGTTGGTATGCTTGCAGGGTGAGGCAATTTGAATATAACTTGATATCAAAGTCATTGATGTTGCTATAACCTACTTGAAAAATTGCAATAGCACAAATTTGAAAGTTACAATTTATAGCTAAATTATAAAAGCAGTTTTAAGCAGTCTTATTTCAGTCATACTACTGGTAGGAGGTCTTAAATTCTGTACGCAGACAAAACATCAACATTGAAACTGTTTTATTCATACCCTCTTACAAATCCAAAATGGCCTGATAACTCACTATAGACCATTACCACTTCAGTGAGAATATGACTAGAAATGGAAGAACCTTGACTCGCAGATCAGTTACTGCAGGTAGAAACCTGCTTGCAGAATAACTTCCTGGACAAATTCAAGAGCAAGTGTTGATTCCTCTGTTGGTGCAAACCACCACCCTGTGTGTCTGGTACCGTTACCATCTCTTGAGCGGAGATGGACAGAAACCCCCTACTTACAGATTTAATTTCTCAGAACTACAATTAATATGGCCACTCTCCTTTTTCCTGAAGGCAATCATCGCTAGATAGATTCCTATTCTTGGAGAGGCAAGGAGGAAGGGAGAGGGGACAATTAAAAAGAAAAGAAAAGCACAGATTTCAAGTTTTGCCCACCAATCGCCACCACCTAACAGGGCTGGAAATCACAGGAATTTAACCAACCCCTTCAAAAACCAAGGAAGTCATTTTGTCCTGCTCCCAATTTGGATTTCTCATTTCTTCTGTACCCCTATTTCTGCCATCCTTCCCCCCCCGCCCCGTCTAGTCTCTGCCCATATCCTTTTTTCTTTTTGACAAGGGCCTCTAATCCCTCATTTTCTCACCTTTTTCCTACTACAGTCATCACATAGTAGCATACTGGCTGTGGAAGACTCCTCTCCTTTGTCAGTCAATGTTAATCCTGCAGTTGGCCAGGAAACGGGAAGACCCTCCTCACTTCCACATGGAGCATTTATCGATTCACATCGGCTACCTTCCAGGCTAAATGAACTGTCATAGCAGCAAACTTTCCAGTTTCCAAACTTTCTAGCAGCAAAGTAAGATTTTTTTTCCCCCCCTTCCAGTCTTGATTTGCATGGCACTCCTTTAGTCAGCCTACAGAGTCCTTTTGAGATACTTGCTAGTCAGATCTGCTTGAACATTTGCATTTGGGCAGAGGGGTCTTCCACAAATGGAAGAGGCAGGTCTCGAGGAATTCCCTAGTTCTGGTTGCAAGAAAGATTTTCTAGATCTCTATTATCCTGTCAGCTGCTCAAGGCAAATATACCTAGTTGGAAAGCTCAGACCAATTGTTCAGACAGTTTTCAGAAACTGGAATTTCATCAGCAGACTAAATCATTTAATGCAGGGGTTCTCAACCTTTTTCTTTCTGAGGTTCCCCAAACATGCTAAAAAACCTCCATGGCCCACCTGTGCCACAACTGGTTTTCTGCTTATAAAAGCCAGGGCTGGCATTAAGGGCAAGCAGCGCAATTGCCACAGGGCCCCCCCACAAAGCTAAGTTGCTCAGATTTTGGCTTCAGCCCCGGTGGTGGGGCTCAGGGCCCTGGGCTTCAGCTTCATGCAGCAGGGCTTCAGCTTTCTGCCCTGGGGCCCAGTGAGTCTAACACTGGCCCTGCTTGGTGGACTGCCTGAAACCTGTTCAAGGCCCCCCCCAGGGGTCCCCAGACCCCTGGTTGATTTAATGTGTTTCAACTAAATATCCCTCAAGATTAACTGAGCAGAAATACCCTTCTTATTTTTTCTTCAGGCTAATTTCTTACTGATAGTCTTCCCAAGCACTGTGGACAATGCCATTTCAGAGGTGGGCCAAGGAGACAGCGTACCACAAGCTGGCATTGAGCTTCAACATGCAAGCCCAGATCGGAGGTCCACTCTCTCACCTTTAAGTGTATTACCTAAAACAGGAGTAGACTTCAGTGGCAGAGCTTTTGGACCTAGCTGAAACAAACACCTGCATGAAATGCACCCCTGCTCAGAACTCATCAAAAGTTAATATCAGTCACTGTTTACCAGGCTCTGCCCTCATTGCCTTTTATTATACCTTCAAAGGCTGCAACTGCATGCCCCATGGGGATAGCAAAGTCTGTAAGCCAGTGCTCGAGATATTATGGTTGTGATTCCATATCTGCATCAGGCAGGAAAGGAGTCAATTTGCCTTCGTTTTTCCACTCTATGCCGTGAGGTTTTACTGTTTAACTATCCCCATCCATCAGGAGCAAATGGAATTGGATGTACCACACCTACTACTAAACTGCCGAAGATCAGCTGTACAAAGACTCAGGAAGGAACACAACGTTTTGTCCCCTAATGCAAGTAATTAGAAGGTCGGGAACAGTCCTTGAAGAACACCCGTTAGAATTTAGGAATATTGAGCGTAAATATTTATTAGGATTGCCCGTATGCTTAGCATTTTAGTCATGGCCAAGACAGACCCCTCCCATGAGGCAGGTGACAACAGAAACCATTACACAACAAATGAGCACTATGTTCTAAAGGAGCAAAAAACGTCTAACAAGGCACTACAGTTCTTTCAAGGAAATGTAATGTAACAGCGAATAGCTCTTTACGTAACCACTACTAAAACATTAAACAAAGGATTATAAGACAAGAGACTCAGAGAGCAAACCTAGATCAGCCACGTTTGGGTTCACTGGGCAATGCAGAGGCAACGCATCTTTGTCTTTCTCCTCAAGACTGCTGCATGTGTGTAACTTCACTTATAGACTCAAGGCCAGAAAGGACTATTATGATCATCTAGTCTGCCCAGCATAGCACAGGCCAGAGAATTTCACCCCATAATTCCTCCATCTAACTCAATCGATAGTTGAACTAGAGCATCTTTTAGACAGCTATCCAGGCTCATTTTAAAGAATGAATTCTGCTATGACCTTTAATGAAGAAATCCCTACCATATACAATGACACAAAAGGGAGGAAAAGCCATTCTTAAAGCGTGAACAGCTCCAAATGCCTGCAGGTGTACCACATCATTTCCTTGGTTAAACAGGGCAGCTCAGTGCATAAAGGGCAGGTAGAGGGGCCCATTCCTGTGGATGCAGGAGGCTGAAATACTGTGGATCCCATATCAGACATGTATACTGGTTCAGGTAATATCTTTTATTGGATCAACTTCTGTTGGTTAAAGAGAACTTGTTCTAGAATATGGTCTTGTTTGGCCACAAGTTACTGGGCTAAATGGGCAATCACAAAGTGAAGTTCTATGACTAGTACTATACAGGAGGTCAAACCAGATACTAGTAAAGGTTTTTTTTTGGTAAAGGCCAGAAAAGTAAGTATAGATGGTATGTCAACATTCATCTTGCTATATTAGCTGGACATAACTCTTCTGCTTTTCACCATGCAAGAGGACAATGTGGCCCCTAGTTCCCAGATTCTAGCCTGTGTACCATCAGTAGTATATCAAGCATTTGCCGATGTTCTAATCTACAGAGACCTGGTGGCTCTTATTTCCGGCCCCTAAACCACATGAAGAAGCTACTATCACATTAAATGCTTTCCAAATACTATTTTTCTATGTAGGTAGGTAGTTATATGAGTTATTCTATTGCCAGCAGAAAAGGAGGCGGTCCAGAAGACACTGCATTAAGATGTGGTCTTTGAGAACTCTTGATATAGCTAGGATCTCTGATAAAACATAGTGGCATCACATTAGAGAAACCTGGGGAAAAGTTTCTTCTCTTGCTTGTTACACTGGATGTAACAAAGGCTGTAGAATTGATAAGGTGCCACCAATTTTTAATTACTGTACATTTTCCACAAAATCACTGACATAAAATCCACTTACCCCAGCAGACTCCCCAGCGTGCAGAACTCAACTCACAGAGAGAGTGAGGAGGGAGAAGGTTTTTAACAGGATAATCCATGCATTTCTTGTTGCTGCTGCACCACAGACACTGAAAGAGAAGCAAAGCAAGTGAGATGCAAGTGCAAGATTGTTTGAGTGCAATGATACTACTAGGTAACAAAGGCTATTCAAGCTAAGAGCATTGTAACGAGCCAGACAAGTTTACAAACTACAATGTATGACATGACTTACTATATTCCAATATTCAAGGGCACAAGGTTGATGAGAGTAATCTGTATTTGACTACAGATAGTTAAGGCGATTGCTGAGAACTGCTATGGTTAAGTGTTAGGTTATGTGGTGCTGTGGATATATAGAACAGCAGATTCCTGAGGCATGATGAAAGTTCAGTATCTGCACTTTTGAAAAAAGTTTGCAAGTCATGAATGTCATGCTTTGCTGCTGATGTTTGTTGGTATGAAAGTGTGCCTCAACTAAGGCTGTCCGGAAACAAGCTTTGTAAATAGCTATGGGTTTATAATAGTTACAGTACATTTTTGTAAAATAAAAAGGCTCAAATATGCTTCCTATATGAAGGTTGTTGAATAAATAAGGGAGGAAACTTTGTAAACAAATGGAAATGTCGCTCTAAGTCAGGACTTAGACTTAGTTTGGCAAGTCAACTTTTAATATGTAACATTTGTACTTTTCACCCCAAAGCAAATACAAGTGAAAAAGAGCCACTGATTTTCATATCAGACATAAGGGTGTTACAAAGAATTTTCCCTGGAGCCTAGGGAGAATGTTATCATTAGAGCCCTTAAAATGCAAATAATCACAGTCAACAGTAGACAGGTAATGCAAAGGCTTTCTGGACTACAAGACTTTAAATAAAAAGAAAAGGAGTACTTGTGGCACCTTAGAGACTAACCAATTTATTTGAGCATTATTTATCATGCTCAAATAAATTGGTTAGTCTCTAAGGTGCCACAAGTACTCCTTTTCTTTTTGCGAATACAGACTAACACGGCTGTTCCTCTGAAACAAGACTTTAAATAGTTACATGAGCAAAGCATTCAGTAACTGTTACAGAACCAGGGAAATGTGAAAGGTTAGTATCCACCCTAGCTAATTTTTCTTTGACCGGATTCACTGTCTTCACATACAGCACTCCCCCCCAACTATCACAGGAGTAGGGGGACACAGTTTTTGAAGTTTCTCTGCAGGTCCTGGCACAGCTCTTTGAAGCAGAAGTTTATGGGAGTTTCTGTTGGAGATGCTGGAGCAAAGTGGAAGATTTACAAGTTGTTTTTTTAAAAGGACAAAAAGGAGGCCTCAGGGTTGCTCACACTATCTCATAAAATGGGATTACAGCAGCCGCAGTAGCTCCAGACAAGAAGGAATCAGGACTACAGGACAGAGCAATCATGGTATAGCAAACAGAAAGAGCACGCAGCAATGCATTCAGAAACCTGTAGATTAAGTAATGGGCTGTAATTTGTTGGGTTTAGTATGTGGGTGCTGGTGGTTTGTGCTATACATGAGGTCAGACTAAATGATCTGATGGTCCTTTCTGGCCTTAAACTCAATGACTAAGTGCTCCTTATCTATCTACAGCTTTGGGGGATTCTGTTAAGTAAGATGTGCACACACCTAGAGTAACTCTGATCTTAGTATAACATACATCCTCCCTTCCCCTGCATCCTTTACCCACCACTGTTGCATCTTGTCTTTTTGTTTGTTGATGTGAAGACCTAAGTGTGCTGGGTTCTTAACATTTATAGTGCAGGACAGACCAAATGAGCCAATGCAGCTGTGCCACCTATGCTTCTGGCCTATGGTAGCACTAGTATACCAGCAAAAACAACTATAGGACTTTGTCTGAGCTCATGTGGTTATGCTGGTAGTTTGAACTCTTGTGAAACAGGAAGCATGTGAGTGGACAGTGTTTGACAGGTGCTTTGGGGAGGGAAGGGAATGTATGACTGTCCTCTTTTCCCCTGGCCCCAATGGGAAGCACTGCTCTGAAGAGTGACTAGAAGTGGCATGGAGTTCCATGTTTTCTGCAGTGTAGACAAGGCCTAAGATGACAGTTTAAAAGACATCAGGAGCTGTAGCATTGCCAGAATCCTTGTCTGACAGAACCTTTTATAGAACCAGTTCAGTTAAACCTTTAACTGAAGGTAGAATTTAGCCCTACAACTGGAACTTGAACAAGTTTGTTGACATTAAGACCAAGGTTTGAAAAGTTTCCTCAGCTACCATTCACACAAGTACCTCAACCACCTCTACCCAAGACTACACCTATTTATACTGTTTGATGGCAGGAACAGAAGATTATGGGAATCAAGTCTGTCCTGCCATTCACCTATCAAATCTAACCCAGCTGTCATTCATAGAATCATAGAATATCAGGGTTGGAAGGGACCTCAGGAGGTCATCTAGTCCAACCCCATGCTCAAAGCAGGACCAATCCCCAATTAAATCATCCCAGCCAGGGCTTTGTCAAGCCTGACCTTAAAAACGTCTAAGGAAGGAGATTCTACCACCTCCCTAGGTAACGCATTCCAGTGTTTCACCACCCTCATAGTGAAAAAGTTTTTCCTAATATCCAACCTAAACCTCCCCCACTGCAACTTGAGACCATTACTCCTTGTCCTGTCCTCTTCTACCACTGAGAATAGTCTAGAACCATCCTCTCTGGAACCACCTCTCAGGTAGTTGAAAGCAGCTATCAAATCCCCCCTCATTCTTCTCTTCTGCAGAAGAAACAATCCCAGTTCCCTCAGCCTCTCCTCATAAGTCATGTGTTCCAGACCCCTAATCATTTTTGTTGCCCTTCGCTGGACTCTCTCCAATTTATCCACATCCTTCTTGTAGCATGGGGCCCAAAACTGGACACAATACTCCAGATGAGGCCTCACCAATGTCGAATAGAGGGGAACGATCACATCCCTCAATCTGCTCACTATGCCCCTACTTATACATCCCAAAATGCCATTGGCCTTCTTGGCAACAAGGGCACACTGCTGACTCATATCCAGCTTCTCGTCCACTGTCACCCCTAGGTCCTTTTCCGCAGAACTGCTGCCTAGCCATTCGGTCCCTAGTCTGTAGCTGTGATTGGGTTCTTCCCTCCTAAGTGCAGGACCCTGCACTTATCCTTATTGAACCTCATCAGATTTCTTTTGGCCCAATCCTCCAATTTGTCTAGGTCCCTCTGTATCCTATCCCTGCCCTCGAGCGTATCTACCACTCCTCCCAGTTTAGTATCATCCGCAAATTTGCTGAGAGTGCAATCCACACCATCCTCCAGATCATTTATGAAGATATTGAACAAAACCGGCCTCGGGACCGACCCCTGGGGCACTCCACTTGACACTGGCTGCCAACTAGACATGGAGCCATTGATCACTACCCGTTGAGCCCGACAATCTAGCCAACTTTCTACCCACCTTATAGTGCATTCATCCAGCCCATACTTCTTTAACTTGCTGACAAGAATACTGTGGGAGACCGTGTCAAAAGCTTTGCTAAAGTCAAGAAACAATACATCCACTGCTTTCCCTTCATCCACAGAACCAGTAATTTCATCATAGAAGGTGATTAGATTAGTCAGGCATGACCTTCCCTTGGTGAATCCATGCTGACTGTTCCTGATCACTTTCCTGTCATCTAAGTGCTTCAGGATTGATTCCTTGAGGACCTGCTCCATGATTTTTCCCGGGGACTGAGGTGAGGCTGACTGGCCTGTAGTTCCCAGGATCATCCTCCTTCCCTTTTTTAAAGATTGGCACTACATTAGCCTTTTTCCAGTCATCTGGGACTTCCCCCGTTTGCCACGAGTTTTCAAAGATAATGGCCAATGGCTCTGCAATCACAGCCGCCAATTCCAAAACACCCAGTTAGTAAATTCTGGGCACCAACTGGTATCTCCTCATATAGGAGCTAGCCAGTTGTACAATGCTTTCATAATTCCCAAATAGAGAAAAGATACTGTGTTCAAGATAATTAACATGTGTTTATGTTCAGCCTTACAATCCTAGAACAATGGGCAATACAGTTAAAGACTTGAGCACTCACAAGACATTCGTCTGATTTGAGGCCGCTATGAGAAGTGTATCACATGAGGAGTTTAAGGAGAAGCTTATCAAAGATTTGATTACTAATATCAGGAAATACTCAGGCATAGTGATGCAGGTTAGAAATACTGACCTCTAACAGGTTTCAGAGTAGCAGCCGTGTTATACTCCAGATAAAACAAAGCTTTCTTGCTCTACCACAGATGTAATTAGTGATGGTAACTGATCGTAGAGCTGGATCAGGGCTGGACTGTGGCAGCAGAGTGAATTTTTCCAGCAGTTAACTGTATTGTAAAGAAGCTCTAAAGCCAATTTCCAGTGTAATCTAGATGAGCTGATTTTTATTGTTCTTTTATACAATGCAAGTGTCCACATTGTTATGCCCAGTGTTATTCTAAGCCTCTTGGGATATAGTATTTTGAGGTTGATTTCCCACAATATCCTCAGCTCAGGAGCTGGGTTACATCAGAGATGCAGTTTATTAGGCAGAGCGTGAGGAACAACTGACCCATAACATTACTGGGGGAAGAGTCTCTTCATTGCTGTTTCAGTGACCTCTTAGGGTCTGTTTACAGTGCAACTGGGAGGCATGATGGCAGCACATGTAGGGATACCTACCCTAGCTTCGATCGAGCTATCTTGCTAAAAATAGCAGTGAAGTCACAGCAGAACAGGTGGTGGTGTGGGCTAGTCACCTAACCACAAGCCTGCCTGTGACCCTGATTATATATTTGGGTGGCTAGTCTAAACCATTGTGCCTCACTGCTATTTTTTAGTGAACTAGTCTGATGAAAGCTAGGATGGGTACACCTACAGGTGCTCTCATCATATCTCCTGACTGCAGTGTAGCCAGATCCTTAGCTGTTCACAAAGGAAGCACAACTCCTTCCAGGAGGTGGTAAAGGATTTAAAGTTACCATACGTCATTATATTCTAGAGAACATGGAAGCCACAGGATGGTAGAGTAGTTTTGGTAAATCTCTGTAATCCAGAGGTGGGGTTTAAAATAATCTGCCATTCATGAAAGCCAGGGGCAGAACCCCAGAAGCAACTAGACATTTTTCTTAAAAGAAATTCAACGTAATTGTCTCCCAGAGCACAGCTGAGTGGAACCGTAGCCAGTGGAGCCTGTGCATGCTGACCCAGTCATGTGCTAGGGGTATTAACCTTTGTCACGTGGAGGTCAGGTGGCTGGGGCCTGGAAATAGAATTGAGTTTCTTCCCATCACTCCTCTGTCACCCTTTATCAACAGTGTTCTCTTCTGGTGGGGGACTTTCCCCTTTTGCTTTCCATCAAGTTACTGTAAGTCAACTAGAATTCGTACTGGGCAAAACATGCTACATGTGCACAACAAGGACTCTTCAGAAGTGTGACAAGCTTCCAACAACAACTGAAGATGTTGGAGGGACTTCACAGGCTAAGGACATTACTGTTGTAGTCTCTATAGGAGTCTGGCTTGATCTAACTAAATAAACAAAGCCACACAAAAACAAAGCCAAGACAGTGCAGAGAAGCCATGGTACTTTTCCATTATCCCCACTGATGCCACAAAGTTCTAGGCTAAATCTATATTGTGGAAGAAGCAGAAACAGGGCTGATGGATTGTAATCCTGAACTCCTTCTTTTAAAAAGGATTAACAGATCCAGATTTCTACTCCAAGTTTGTAAAAAAAGGTTATGTCAGTTTACTGGATCAGAAAAAGAGAGAAGATTGTGTAAGTAGTGGAAGACATGATAGCTTTGAATTCAAAGCTATCCTTTTTATAAGTCCTACAATTCCTGCATAGCCAGCTCAGCATCAGTTCCACATATTTTGAATAGGTAGGTTTGGCTTGGTTGGAACTTTGTAATTGACTAGATGCTTAAAAAAAGCAGTTAAGTGTTAGAGTTTCAAGAGAAGATACAAGAGACTCAACAGTGTTCTACTCAGAAATGCAAGGACAATGTGCATTTCCAGGCATGAGAAATAAACTTGTTTTTGTGTTCACTGTTTCGTTTCATAGAACACTGGAGTCTCTCTCAATTTCTCACTTTCCCACAGTTAGGGAACGTTACAACTCTGAATTTGCAGCTCAGAACTGACTGATATAAGGGACAACTTCATACCTATGAATGTATGGTTTCCCCTAGCCTTAGTACCACTAAGTTTCACCTATCTGCACCAACATTCACCTTCATATGATGAGCAGGTACAAATTCAGAGGCATTCGGAGTTTCTCAGCAAGCCAATTTAAAATCAGAGTCCTGACACTAGGCAGTTAGAAAAACAAACACACACGTCATTAGAAGACATTTGAGGTGGAGGTCAAGGCCCAGTGTCACTTTTAGGCCTTCCACAATCTTGTAAGGTTTGTTTCAGTAAGACTACTTCTATACCTGAATTCAAGAGCCAAAACTTTGGATTCTTCCTACCTGTAAAGCCAAACCTCCAAAACTGAGGTGTTTGATAACTTCCCCTACCCCCATCTGAATTCCACTTGGTTCTAGGAGTGCTAGAGGAGACACGCTATTTCCAGCATATCCTCAGATTGTGATCTGTTCTCTCAATCCACTCAGCCCACTGGAGAAGTGAGGCAGTTTAGCCAGCACCCACACAGTGACAAAAAGGAAAAGCAGGACTCCAAACAGTCCTCTAAAATACTGGTGGGGAACAGTAGGTCATCCAAACAAAGAATGTGGCAGAGATCATCAGAACCTGGAGGGAAAGGCAAGGTTCTTCAGGAACCCTTTCCAAGGGTTTGGATTAAACATTTAAAAACAAAACCACCCCACCACAGGTGCTTAGCACTTGCAGCTCCCTTTGAAGTCAGCTGGCATAGTGGCTGCTCCCCACTTCAAAATGCCAAGACAGATCTTTTCAGCTGCTTCGCAAAACTATGAACCTTTGGCAGGTTGACACAGCAAGTTCACTTAAATAAAGGAAATAGATTTGTTTTTCTACTACTTACTGAGACTTTTTTCAGACACTCTTCACAAGTTTTGTTTGTGTATTGAGGACAAGCTGTGGAGAGGAAAGAGCCATATTAGTATTTAGCTAGGCCCATACAAACAACATTTTGAAAATAAATAATGCCTGAACATTTAACTTTGCTGTATCCTCGCAGCCAGGCCGTACTACATATAGTTTCTAAAAAAACAAAGCAGCATTGCCAGACATTTTTCCTTGACTAATTACTCTACTGTAAAGTGCAGCAACTTCTTACCTTATTCCTGTGCACTAGTGCTTTGTCTCAGAGAACTGGAGAAGCAGCACCATACAATCAAGATATTCCCACTCTATTTGCACATATACCATCTATTTGTAGAGGCTCCTTTCCACATAATTATCTATTGTTGCAATTCTCGTGCCATTAGTGTAACACAATTTAAACAGTTTCGGGAGACACACAGTCTTGAGACTAGATAGCATTTCTGCAAGATTATGAAAAGTCTCTTCCACGCAGGCTCATTCTAGGCTGTTTAACGTTTAACTATGAAAGCATGCGAGCTATCATAGATTTAGTCCAATGTTTTATTACTTAATTGTTGGGGAAGCAGGTTATGCAAGGTCCCAATTATCAGATTTGCAATTAAATAAAAGTTTTAAAAAGAACTCCACCAATGTTGCTCAGCCTCCTATTTGCAATGACCCTCTTGATGAAAAAAACAATTGAGCTCGTCTTCCTCTTGGTATGTGAGTTACCCCAAGCAGGAGGCTCAGAAACGTTAGTTGCAGTTTTTAGTTTTCTTCAAATCCAAGCACACAAAATCCTTCAAACTGCAACAGATCATGGTTTCTGACAAACTCTTCACTACACTCTTCTGTTAATATTATGCCCTGTTCACTGTAATCATGTTCTGTTATCTATAAAGAACAAAACCAAATATAACTGAGGTGAAAATGTGGAGAGAGCATGAATAGTTTCCTGGCTAGTATACTCTGAAACCTATACCCTGAGTGTAACAGCCGTGTTAGCCTGTATTCGCAAAAAGAAAAGGAGTACTTGTGGCACCTTAGAGACTAACCAATTTATTTGAGCATGAGCTTTCGTGAGCTACAGCTCACTTCATCGGATGCATACTGTGGAAAGTACAGAAGATCTTTTTATACACACAAAGCATGAAAAAATGGGTGTTTACATTGTAAGGAGAGTGATCACTTTAGATAAGCTATTACCAGCAGGAGAGTGGGTGGGGGGAGAGAAAACCTTTTGTAGTGGTAAACACCCATTTTTTCATGCTTTGTGTGTATAAAAAGATCTTCTGTACTTTCCACAGTATGCATCCGATGAAGTGAGCTGTAGCTCACGAAAGCTTATGCTCAAATAAATTGGTTAGTTTCTAAGGTGCCACAAGTACTCAAGGTATATTGTCCCTGAACTGAAGGGCTTGCATACTTTATTGGTACAATACCTCACTGGTTTTAGGTAGTTATAAAAAGGTTTCTGTGTTTTTGTCATCGTTTAGAAGCTTAAACATGCTGTGTCCGCAGATTTTAATTTACAGAATGCATGCTACCTAGGGAGGTGGTAGAATCTCCTTCCTTTGAAGTTTTTAAGGTCAGGCTTGACAAAGCCCTCGCTGGGATGATTTAGTTGGGGATTGGTCCTGCTTTGAGTAGGGGTTTAGGACTAGATGACCTCCTGAGGTCCCTTCCAACCCTGATATTCTATGAAATAAAAAATCTTCTAAATCACAGGTCTCCCCAATAGTCCCTATTAACATTCGATAGTCTCTTGGTTACCCTAGTGTGCTATAGCGCCACATTTCCTCCCTTCAACCAAAACAGAGTGTTAGAAGTACAGGAGACAAGACCTCTAAGAACCCACTTCATTAGAATGCTTCCTCCATCTAGTAAACTTCAGAAAGATTATTTCCTTTTCAAACATAGCATTTGAAGAGCACTTTTAATTACTGAATGTTTGAGGAGTAGTTGAGAATTTTAAAATATCAGCAGTACCCTATTTTGCGGGAAGACAAGATTTTAGTGAAATTATTGAGCATTCAATCGATGGTCTGTGGAAGATGATGTACTACACATTAAATACCTTTAAAATATCTTTTGTAAACTAGAAAAGAAAGGGTATTTGTTCATAAGAACATTTGTAGTAATGATTTTCCATTAGCTACAATGCAGCTGGTCAGTTTTGTGTTTTCATTTACAGCGGAGATCAGTCATGTGATTAGGGAGCAGAGCTGTGGTTTCTTTTAGGTTTATATCCTCAGGGTACAGCCCTTGAAGTGAGTCAGCATTCTATGAACATAGGTAAGATAGAGATGTTTACACACCGCTCTACATTTTAGAAGTCAGACTCTGAACTCCTAAACTAGATCTGAAGCAGAGACTTTATAAAGTACTAATATTCACTGTCATTACTACCAAGTTGAAGGGAGTCGTGGAACAGCCACTCCACACCCCTAAACACAGTTACAAACGTTGGGGACAGAAGAGAAATCATGGGACTTTTATGTTAACACTAATTATATAGTTAAAAAAGTACAGTAAACTTGTGATTCAGTCCAAGATCAGTTAATTCAAGCCAGCACTATGTTACTGCTGTTTAGCAAGCCCCAATTTCTAAGACCTTCTGACTTTCCAGTCCTTGAGTTGTTCAATTTTGATTCAACAAGAATGCAGCTTTAGAACAGTTAATTCAAGCAACAAGCTGATGGGCAGCAAATATGCAATTGGTGAAGTTTAAAGTCTGAATTAAGCTACATTTGCTCTTCTGCTGCTTTCTACCAGCTTGTCAGATACTTTGCGTGATACGTCTCATTGAACAAACAAAGATACTGCTAACAACTGTAGCAGAATCTCACAAATCCACACTACTGGGAGAGCCCTAATACAAGATAAAGACCTTTCTACATTATGAAAAAACAACGAGGAGTCCTTGTGGCACTTAGAGACTATCCACTTCATACAGCTAAACTCAATGCCTTGCACAGTGACAGGTTTCAGAGTGGTAGCCGTGTTAGTCTGTATCAGTAAAAACAACAAGACGACTAGGAAAGAGGTCCTTCAAATCATGTTGGCTACCTCAATTTCTTTTTAAAGTGCATCTTAACACCTATGACCTCTCTCACTCTCTCTCACTAGGATACAAGGTGGATAAAAACTGATGATGTTGGGGGGGGGAATAAAAGAATTGGATTTTTCCCCCTTTAAATAAGATTTTTGATTTTAGTTAAATTTTAATAAGTTTTTCTTGTTAAAAATAAATCTGTTTAAAATTAAATCTGAATTTAATGGAAAATATGCTAAGGCCTAAAATTATAATCATTAAAACCTTTAAATAAAAATAAATACTCTGAATCCATGAGCCACTACCAAACACTGAGTTAAAGATTACTTTTCTTTATAAAGAATCAGGAGAAAAACATTTCAATTTGAAGGGCAAGCTTTATAAGATGGCACAACAGGTCATGTTCTGTATTAAGTGTTTGATCCTGTGGGGTTTCCAGGGGCTGTGCTACTGGGGGTAACAAACTGAAATTCATATCTCACCAGGATCATCCACTGAGCCCACCGGGATAGTCTCATACTCCTATTTTATAGCTTCCCTCTCCCTGAACTCTGATTGGCTCAGTTCTCAAATTATGAATATGTATGACTCCACCCCTCATTCACCATTTTCTAACCTACTAAAACGTACAATTAAGAAGCTGAAAATATTAAACTATAACACTCTTTAAATAAATGTATATCATTATAGTGTACCCTCTTAGGTAGCAAAAAGGTATACCAAATATAGCATAAAGGCTCTATTTAGTTCTAAGTCTACATATTTTAATGAATACACCAGTGAGAATGCATCTTTCTTTATACGAAAGAACTGAAGTACAAATGGAAAAGCTGATTGAAATTGATTATTTAAATCTAGACTTTCCACTTGGTGAATTAAATCACCATTATTTAAATCAATCCACCTGGGTAGGATAGAGAGGTACACTCTTAAAACATACCAGCTTAAACATCTTAAAATTTTAGTGTAGTGATGGCAAGTTGTAGTTTTTAATGTTAGACTGTCAATGTGAACCCTAGAGGGGAGCCTAGGGTTCATCTTGACTAATAATGTGCATGTCCTAGTGTGGACAGACTCTTAGGGCTAGTCTACACTGGCAACACTAAAGCGCTGCCGCAGGACTGTTTTAACGTGCCTTGTGTGGTCACGGCGCAGCACTGGGAGAGCTCTCCCAATGCTCTAAAAAACCCACCTCCACGACAGGCGTGGCTCCCAGCACTGGTGCACTGTCTACACTGGCTCTTCACAGCGCTGAAATTTGCTGCGCTCAGGGGGGTGTTTTTTCACACTCCTGAGCGAGACAGTTGCAGCGCTGTAAACTGCCAGTGTAGACAAGCCCGTAGTGTAGACAATTAAATACTTTTGCAGTTCTATTATCCAGTTCAGTTTTTCATTTTATTTTGAAAAGCACCTACTTTCACCCCTAATCTAAGTAGACCTTTATGAGTGCTAAGTAGAGGGCCTGTGAAAGTGACATTCTTCACAAGCTAATCGGGAAGAGCCACCTCAATCCTTGGCCTAGCATTCACTGAAACCTTGAGACAGGCCTAGAATGTTTACTTCTGGTGCTACCTCCTCATACTGTCCCCCACCCACCTTCTGCTTCTGTTCTTCCAACTTGTGCAGCTGTTAAAATGCAGGGTGCAGGGCCAGGTTGTTATTTCACTTGTTGAAGAATGAAGAAAAGCCAGTGTGACATAAAGTAGGGTAGTATGCTTTTAGGATGCTTGCTGCCACCCTGCTCTCTTCGCCTTCAGAAGAAACTCTGGGAAGCAGTGACTCTGAAAAGGACTTTGGGGGTCCTAGTAAATAATCAACTGAACATGAGCACCCAGTGCGACACTGACCAAAACAGCTAATGAGATCCTTGGATGTAACAAACGTGAATTTTGTGTGAAAAGAGGTTATTTTACCTCTGTATTTGGCACTGGTGCGATTGCTGCTGGAATATTGTGTCCAGTTCTGGTGCCAACAATTAAAGAAGGATGCTGATATATTGGAGAAGGTTCAGAGAAGAGGCACAAGAAATTAAAGGATTGGCAAACCTGACTTCTAGTGACAGATTGAGCTCTTGAGTCTATTTAGTTTAAAAAAAGAGATGGTTAAGGGGCGACTTGATCACAGTTTGTAAGTACCTACACAGGGAACATATCTAATAGGCTCTTCAGTCTAGGAGACAAAGGTATAACAAGATCCAATGGCTAGAAGTTGAAAACGGACAGTCAGACCGGACATGAGGCATATTTTTTTTTTTTAACAGTGAAGGTAAATAAACATTGGAAAATTTACCAAAGGATGTGGTGGATTCTCCATCAATGGAGATTTTTAAATCAAGACTCGATTTTTTTTTTTTTAAAGACATGCTTTAGTTCAAACAAGATTTTTTTCAGGGAAGTCCTATGGCCTGTGCTATGCAGGAGGTCAGATTGGTGGATCACAGTGGTCCCTTCTGGCCTTAGAATCTAGGCATCTGGTAGTATTGCTAGATCCCCACTTACTCTTTGATGATCATATAGCAGCAGTCACCTGAACAGGTGCAAACAGGGATGGAGGTGGTTAGCCAGGCACTAGCCAAGAAGTTGAAACTTTTTCTTTTCAATTCAATCTTTCTGCCATGGCCTATGCCTTTATAACCTGAGGATTAGACTTCTGAAATGCGTGAGAGGGATGCACTTTAAATCAACTCACAAACGGAAACCTGCAGCAAAGGTGGCAGCTTGCTTATTGGAGAAGTTTCTCACAGTCAACACATGACACCAGTGCTTCATGACCTGCACTGCCGGCACGCTGGCTTGAGTGAATGGAAGGGGATGGTTTTGACCAAGAATCTTAAATGGCTTGCAACCTTCGTATTTGAGATGCCTTTCTCCTGGTGCCATGTTAATGCAGCTGCAGTCAGTCAGTCAAAGCACTCAAGTTGGAGTCCCCTCAAGAAAAGAGGGAGCTGTTGGGCAGTATCAGGGTGTTTTCTGTGATGGGCTGTAATCTTTAAATTCATTCCTAACTTTAGTCAAAAGTCACATGACATCAGGGCACACTTCAAAACCAATCTTCTCGCAAGCTTCTCCTCTTGTCTGGTTTGGGGAAGCCGCCTTGTTGGTCTGTAATTGTAAAGTATGTACAAGGAATACATAGCATTTTGGAAACGTTTTAGAGTTTGTGAAAATCTGATCACAAGACCCAAAACCTCCACCCTAAGATTTTGAAATTTGTTAACTAGGAGGAAGACGGTGGAAACAGTGCACTGGGATGAAGGCAGTTACATTAAGTGAAAAATAATGCTTTCAACTCAAAGTATTTCTCACCATCCATCATGTTTAAGAGATGCATTCCATACATTTGTAATACCACACTCTGGCAGAGAAATCAGGTAGCCTGCTCAGACTTCTCTGGACCTTCAGGAGGTTAAAATAGAACTGGAGCTTGTTCATGTGTGGAAGGGCACCTCTCAAAGCCTGAAACAGAAGCCCCCTTTATAGCAGTCAGCTATTACTAAGCAGTAAGCTATTACTTCATAGTGTTTCAGAGATACAATCTTATCAGTACAGTGAAAAGTTAAAAACTTAGTTATCAAAACTAATAAAATACATAGCAATACACTGTCCTTGCTTTGTTTGTTCGCTTACCCACCAATTCACATAATTCAGTAACTGACATCCCTGCACTGAAAATTCGTAACAACTATAAGAGAACTTCAATATGAACTTCCAATGAAGGGAGCTGTAGCTCACGAAAGCTTATGCTCAAATAAATTGGTTAGTCTCTAAGGTGCCACAAGCACTCCTTTTCTTTTTGCGAATACAGACTAACAGCTGCTACTCTGAAACCTGTCATTATGCAAGGCACAGAGGGAATAGTGTGTATGGTTGGTTTCACAATGCTGTCTTCGCTAATCTCTCCCCTTAGTCATGTTAGGCGTTACTTGTAACACTAACAGGTGAACAAGTTTTCACACAAAGGTGTGATTATAAATTGGTGTTCTGCTAACAAGATAGCTACTCTGAAACCTGAAGTGAGCTGTAGCTCACGAAAGCTCATGCTCAAATAAATTGGTTAGTCTCTAAGGTGCCACAAGTACTCCTTTTCTTTTTGCGAATACAGACTAACAGGGCTGTTCCTCTGAAACCACATTTTAATGACTTCCCTGATTAGCACACTCCACTCTTTGATAAGGCAAGGCTGTAACAAATAGCCCACTGTGCTTAGAAGGCTAAATACTGAGACCAACTATTGCAAGGTCTTGTCTTCACAGTGAGAAAGGGGTGCGTTCTTCCTCTGTTAGCTGGCAGTGGGGAAAATCCTAACGAAGACCAGACACTAGTGAAGTTGCTATGTTCAAACAAGCAAGTAGCGGTAAAACCCAGGATCGCAACTCCACCAGCTCCAGGGGAAACTACCAATGGCCTTCTCTCCGCTAGAAGCTAACGCGAGTTGTCAACAGCAGCAGTCGCAGGGCAGGGGTGGAGGGGAATTAGAGTCTCAGATGATTGTAGGGGACTGGACACTTGGGGGATGTGTCGGATACGGGGGGAGGAAGAAGAGACACCAGAGGCAGGAAGTGCGGGGCAAGACACCTGGGGGGATCGGGGAGGAAGTGCGAGGCACGGGGGTCGGGTACGGGGGGGGGTTGGCAAGGCGCCAGGGACAGAAGAGATGGGGCCAGGACACCACGGGCTGTGTAGGGCAGGCTGTGGCGTGTGGAGGGAGGTGCGGGGCAGGGGACCGGGGGCTGTGTGGGGCAGGCTGTGGCGTGTGGGGGGGCAGGTGCGGGGCAGGAGATCTGGGGGGGGGGGGGCAGGACAGGACACCGGGGGCTGTGTGGGGCAGGCTGTGGCGTGTGGGGGTGGGAGGTGCGGGGCAGGAGACCGGCGGGTCGGGCTTGGGGGGGCAGGACACCGGGGGCTGTGTGGGGCAGGCTGTGGCGTGTGGGGGGAGGTGCCGGGCAGGAGATCGGGGGGGGTCCGGCTTGGGGGGCAGGACACCGGGGGCTGTGTGGGTCAGGATGTGACGGGTGGGGGGAGATGCGGGGCAGGAGACGGGGGGGAAGGGCAGGACACCGGGAGCTGTGTGGGGCAGGCTCTGCGTGGGGGGCCGGGCTCTCTTACCTCCCTCCGACGCAGCAGCCGGGGAGGCACTGCCCGGGGCCATTGCCAGCAGCAGTAGCGCCAGCGGGGCGCAGAGAAGGAGCCCGCTGCCCAGAGCCATCGCGGGTCTCGCAGCCGCACAGCCCAGCGCTCGCAGCTATCTCGTCCGGCCCCCGCCCCGCGACCTTCCGCAACAGCGCCGCGAGACCTGCTATTTGCTCGCGGGGGCGCGCGCGGCCGCACTTCGAGAGCCGGCCACGCTCGCCCCCTGCCGGGCAACAGGGCCCGCGCGGCCCGACCATGTCTGAGGGGAGCGACCCGAGCCTTGGCCCCGGCCCCGGCCCCGCCTCGGGCTCCGCCCCCCAACCGCGGCCCCGTCCTCGCACCACTCTCAGCCGCCCCCCTCCGTCTCGGGTCCCGCCCCCAACCTCCCTCCAGACTCCACCACCTCCAATTGTTCCCCCCGTCTCAGGTCCTGCACTCCCAACCCCCCCCCAGCACCACCCCAACGCCCCTTCCCCACACCCCGCCACCTCCCGACCCCTCGGGCTCGATACGTGGAATAATCCCGCCACAGGCCCCAGCACCCGCTGCCTGCCACCCGCCCCTGAAACCCCCTCGCCCATAGTCCCCAAGCCCAATTCCTCCCCGGCCCGATCGCCTCCCGCCCGCTCTCTAACCTCCCCCGGAGCTGAGCTGAGGGCTGTTTGCAGTGTGCTGTGATTGCACTGGCAATTGACATGCAGAGACACCTCGCACACACATCAAACAGGAACTAGTTTAATTCCCCAAACTTCCTATTCACTGTAACCCAGGAGCTGGAGGGGAGCAGAACCTCCTCACTGACCCCCTGGGAAGCTGCTGAGCAGTGACGGTGAGACTCTGCTGCAGCCCCCTGAAAATCACCCCCCTACGTTCTGTATCAGGAGTCGGGGAATGTGAAGAGCAGCGATTAAGTGCTGTGGGAATCAACTAGTTGCCACGTTTTCAAGTTGTTCTACAAAGAAAGGTTGGATGTAAGATACTGGTTTGCAAGATCATAACATCTGATCGTGGTTTCTGGTGGATTGCACTCTCTGAAGGAGGCACCAATGATTTTGGTCTGTAGCAGGCACAATGCTCTTCTTTTCACGAGTTGTGATCTTCTGGGTACTGAAGCAAGCAGAGACAGCCTGTGGGAAAACAGTATGTGAAAACACTGTATCATAATGCATACGTATATGGGAACAAGAGTTCTGATAAATTAAAAAGGTGTTTACTAACAGAAAAAAGGCGTAGCAAGATCCAGTGATTGGAAGCTGAAGCTAGACAAATTCAGACTAGAAATAAGGCACACTTTTTAAACTGTAAGGATAATTAACGAATGGAACTATTAATTTATAACCCCTTAGATATCGTCTGCAGACACCCACAGGTCCGTGGACCACAGGTTGAAAACCACTGCTGTAGTCATCAGAGTGAGGTTGTCTAGCCTGTGTTATGCAGGAGGTCTGACCAGATGATCATAATGGTCCTTCTGGCCTTCACATCTATGAATCTATAAGGGCTGAACAGCACCATTCATGCCAATCCTATGATGGAGCGAATAGTATGTTATTCAATTTCAGTCTCCCTTCCATCCCCATCACCTTCTACCTGTTACCTTGTCCCAGTCTCTTTGCTCAGAACAGTTCCAATTTTCCCCATGCACCGTGGCTTTTCATCAGATCTGTCTCCTCCGCCTCACCATCTCCATTCTCCCACTATGGGTTCCCAAGGCCCAGTCTTTTTTCCCCCTCTGAGTTAGTCACAGTGTCCTCACCTCCCTCCACTCTTTCATAAATATGAGTCTTTCCTCCCTCACTGGCTCCCAGTCCCCACACCCCATTTCCCTCTCCAGCTCTCAGGCCCAGTCTCCTCTCCTAATCAATCCCACTCCACTCCCTTTCCCCCACAGACTCTTTGTCACCTCTGTCAGGCACCTTCCTTTTCTACACTGCCTGGTTGCCAGCAGAGGGTGGTGACCAGGTCACTGAGAGCACAAGGGGAAAGTTTCCATGCTCTCAGTTCTGGTGCCCTGCCCTACACCAGTCTGCAGCAGCTGGGAGCAACAATTGCAGGGAAAGTTCTGCTTGATGCTTGTATCCCTGAGCTTTAGCATGCTCAGTCACTTTCTGGGTATGCATGTGCAGGCTAGTCAACAGCAGGAACTGAAAGAGACAGTATCTTCAGAGAGTTTAGCTACAGTCTACAAAGTCTCTGAACACAAGCAAACTCACTTTTCAAAGATTTGTTCACACTTGGGTGGATTTTCATAGGGGATGGCAAAATGCACATTCCGGACACAACGGCCACCCCATGTCAAGTTTCAAGTCCCTGCACCAAAAGCATGAAGGTGTGAAAGCTTTTAAAAAAAAAAACAACTGTAAGAATTTTTTTTTAATGTGGCACAACAATGTATTTTTTCCCTCGCCTCATTCTTGGAAATGGCTGAAACTTTGACAGAAACTTTCCAAAAATATTCAGTCTGAGGCCAGTAGAATTTCAGTCCAAAAGGTTTAAGTTTGGCAAAGTTATAAGCTACTGAAAACAGGAGAGTGAGTTTGTGTGTGTGTGTGCGTGTGTGTGTGTCCCCCCGGGGGGGGAAGGGGGGGGTGAGAGAGCCTGGATTTGTGCTGGACATGGCCCACCTTGATAGCTCACGAAAGCTCATGCTCAAATAAATTGGTTAGTCTCTAAGGTGCCACAAGTACTCCTTTTCTTTTTGCGAATACAGACTAACACGGCTGTTCCTCTGAAACCTGTCATTGTAGGGAGAGTGGTCATTTTGGATGAGCTATTACCAGCAGGAGAGTGAGTTTGTGTGTGTATGGGGGTGGGGGGGGTGAGAAAACCTGGATTTGTGCTGGAAATGGCCCACCTTGATTATCATGCACATTGTAGGGAGAGTGGTCACTTTGGATGAGCTATTACCAGCAGGAGAGTGAGTTTGTGTGTGTGGTTTTTGGAGGGGGGTGAGGGGGTGAGAGAACCTGGATTTGTGCAGGAAATGGCCCACCTTGATTATCATGCACATTGTTAAGAGAGCTGTCACTTTGGATGGGCTATTACCAGCAGGAGAGTGAGTTTGTGTGGAGGGGGGTGGAGGGTGAGAAAACCTGGATTTGTGCTGGAAATGGCCCAACTTGATGATCACTTTAGATAAGCTATTACCAGCAGGACAGTGGGGTGGGAGGAGGTATTGTTTCATGATCTCTGTGTGTATATAATATCTGCTGCAGTTTCCACGGTATGCATCCGATGAAGTGAGCTGTAGCTCACGAAAGCTCATGCTCAAATAAATTGGTTAGTCCCTAAGGTGCCACAAGTACTCCTTTTCTTTTTGCGAATACAGACTAACATGGCTGTTACTCTGAAAAGTGTCTTATTATGAAAAGCAAGGGAAATTTTAATAATAGTCAGGGCTGCTAGCTCCACCTATTTGACTGCTACTAATAGTGCCAAATTCTTTGCTTTTTCCTCCAAACTTGATCATGCAAAGCGCTCCCTGAAGAAGATGGGAGTTTTAGCTGAATAACTCTTGAGTCCAAGATGTGGTCAGGGCATGTCCCTTAGAAAAGAAGGAACATTTACAGAGAAATAGGAAGCCCAGCACATGTGCCAGCTTCAATAAGTTACCCTTTCCCCATTCCCTTTCCATTTACTGTGAATTAAATCAATGGTTTCACAGGCTCTGCCTGTGCAAATGATAGGCCATTGTGAGTGCAAGCATCATTTATGCATACTCGGGGCCGGATTAACTTTTTGTGGGCCCGGTGCCAAACATATTTGTGGGCCTCCATTGGGGAAATAGGGCATGTAATGGGGGGCAATCTGCGGAATGAGGGGCTGTTTGGGGGCAATAAGGCGCAGTGCAGCGGAAGTGGCCCCACTCAGCCCAGAACAGGGCACTGTTTACAAATCCACAACTGCTAGATACACACTGGCCCGCCCAGCCCTGCACTGCCAGTGTGCCCCTTCCACACTGCCCGCTTGTCCTTATGCCCAGCATCCCTTCACCCAGAGACTTTCCCTACAGATCCCTATGCCCAGAGACCTCCCCCACAGATCCCTATGCCCAATGCCCCTGTCACAATATGACTGCCCCCCTCCCCCATGGGGACCCCTGGGTAAGCAGTTAGCATTGCATGTTGCTATCACTTGTATATGTGGTAAAATGTATTGTGGGAAGGGTTGCAGGTGTGAGTATGGAGTGAAAGGTTCCTTTGCAGGTTACAAGAGGCCGTAGAGGGAGGAAAGCAGAAGGGAATGGGTTAACTCGACACTCCAGCTAGGTCTGAAGATAAGACGCTAACTCCAGCCCAAAGCCACGACACACAACCAACTCTTGGCTGCCTGCCAAAAAAGACGGGGGCCTGGATTCCAACTCCGACCAGCTGTGAGAAAGGAGGATTCAGCTGAACAGAACTGCAGGGGCTGCAAAAACTAGTGAGACAGTGAAGGTCAGCGAGGGGGAAAACCACAGTGTTGCGTCCCTGAAGCTGGTGTGTTTTGGGAAAGCTGAGGAAGCCATGGAAGGCCGGTTTGGACTGGTACAAAGAGTATGGGGGACAGAGGTCCCTGAACAGAATGCCCCCAAAAGACCCCAGGACTTAAAACCCTCCCAAGAGCTCAAGTAAATCGAAGATCAACAGTGGACTCTGACGGCCTGTGCACAGAACAGAACTCTTGTACACCCTTCCCCCCTCTACTTCTGATGTTACACCCAGGCTTGGCCAGCCTCGGGTTGTGCGTGTGTAAGTATAAAAGTGGGTTAGGGCACGGACACTAACGCTTTTTTTCTTCCCCTGAGTAACATGGGAAGCCCCAGCACTAACCGCTGTTATTTTATTAATAAAACTTTAAAACTTAGTCAGTTGGTGTGCTCCTTCATCTCCTCCCCTAACAAACCTGCGGCCTCAGCCTGATCACCTGACCCCTCAGGCAGGTTGGTAACATAAATCTGTCACAGTTTTGATGGAGAACTGCAGAGGGGGGTGGCCCTGCGGAACACACCAACTGGTCTGCCCTTGGTATTTCATGTTTGCTCTGCCCGGCATGGTTGGTATTTCATGTTAAGGATTTTAGGATTAAAGATATGCCCCACCCTCAGTTGTAGCATAACTAAAAAACAAAGGAAGGTTTAGCGTTCCTCTCTCCACCCTGGTCGGCGGGGGAAAGGTGTAGGTGGATCTAC